TGGGGGCTCAACTATTCTTTGTTTCAGCCTCAGTGCAGTCTGTTCCAATCCTTCCTGTAAGTGCTGGCCTGAATTCTACCCACTTAGGGAAGCCCTCTCAGACCTTTTCCTCCAAACTGGGCCAATCTTACCTTCTATTTATTATCATGGCACCATTACTCTCTCCTCCACAGAATGTACACTCACGTGTGCTTTTTGTTACTTAGTACTTCTTTTTCTGATAAGCTGCAAACCACCCATACCAAGTTATCCGGTATCATTGGTGCCTAGAGCAACGTTAGCACAGGGTAGCTGCTCAATAAAGGAAAAAACGAATAAATGAATAATGAACAGCTGAAGGAATCCCTGGTGTGTCAGTTGTTTAATCCCTTTAGTCATGGTCTGGAGATATTCCGAAAGGCAACTCAACATCTTCAGCATCCCAATTCTTACTCTAAGGTTTACACAAAATTTCTACATTATTTTATATAAGCACTAATTCTATTGCTTTGCCCAATCTTTAAGACAGTTAATTCAATGAAATACACCAGGAAGAGTGTTTATTGCATGAAGTCTACTCTGCTGATTGAAAGCATATTACGCTATTGAAAAACATCAGAAGAAAATTTATTATGGCTCCATTACCCAAGATATAGTTTTCGGAACACTAGCTTCTGGTCACGCGCAGTTGTGGAACTAAGGAGAAAAGTTAGATAGATTTTGTTTTGTTTTGTTTTAGTGAATGATTTTTAGGTTCTTAGATATATTATGAAAACCAAAATGGAGGTCTTAAGATGAAATATTTTCTTAATATATTTGACCACAGAGGGTTACCTTGCTCTAGACTATCTTTTGGAAATGCTGATATGTGTAGGAAATGTGGGTTAATATTTCATGTTTGTGCCTGCTTTGGGAGATAGGATTGTATTGATTTTTTTTTTTACAGAAACTCCACTTCTCCCACAAAACAAGTTTTGGGAATTATGTTCCCTTCCTGGCACTGGCCAGTGACTTCCAATGCAGCAACATTTCTGGCTTAGGGTTTGCACATCAGCAATAACTGTCATTGGAGCAGAAGCCTTGAGCTCCCATTGTCATTTTCACCAGTGGAGCTGTAATTGGGAGAAGAAAAGGCCAATGGGCATGGAGATATTCAAGTTAAATCTGCGTTTACAATGACACAACTGGTGAATAAAAGGGAGCAGTATTGAAATCTGAGAAAGTAATCAGGTTTCAAACAACTGCCTCAGAACTGTACAATCAAGAAAAACTTGCAAGAGCTAGCTTCTACCAAGAGATACAGAATTCAGAAGATCAAATCGAGAACTTACATTAGTGTGGGTTCCTACAAAAAGCAAATAACTTCAAAGTAGTTCATGCATGAAACCCAAAAGAATATGGGCTTTGCCAATAGGTACTTATCAGCCTCTTAGCAAATAATATTTCTGTTTTGTTTAATGACTACAAGGCATGACTCATGAATTTAATAGTTAACAGGATAGTCTTATAGCCTCAGGTACTTTTAACCATCAGAGAAGAAAGGGGGAGTATTTTGGGTACAAAAAGGACATGAATTTTATAATAAAAGTAGCATGAGGATTCGGTGTATGGAGGCTAGAGATCTCTATGGAATACAGAGTTAAACAGATTACCATATGTTCCCCTTCAGGAGCATTTGAAAAATGAAGACCAAATGTGTTTTATAGAATGATGTTCTTCATAATGCAGATAGCCACTGATTTGAGGCTGCAGCTAAAATAAATATGATACCTTTTGAGTGCTGTTCACAGACACTAGTGACCTATCAATTTCCCTATCTCGGGAAAAGCGAACCGGAGGATGACAGCTCACTCCCAGAAGAGTGGTTGATATACGTTAAGTGGCTGTGTCTCTGCTGCTGATTATTAATTGTGGCTAATATAGAGCGAGACGCTCTCCCCAGACTCTGCAGATGCTTCTTGGAATGCGGAGGTCTTCAGGCCTAGTTGAGAGAGGCCCTGCTGTAGAGTTAGAAATTCCCGATCCGGTTTCTAGTCGTGCAGATAGACCTTGGGGCCGAGCGAGTGGGGCTTCTGAGATGCTCGTGTTTTAGACCCTAGGAGGGGTCCTGCCAATATATCGTCTTGTTTATCTGCATCCGTAGCACCTGTGCACATCAGATGTTTTATGCACAATGGCTTACAATGCTGTCTTTTCTCATTGCTACTTTCTGTCTGTCAAGCTTCTCTGGATAGATGGGATTAGAGTGGCTATTGGCCTTTAACTTCCGGTTATTGGAAAGGTGAATGGAGGGTGGGCTTATATGGGGGTTGATAACACACACTTGTGCCGTCTTCTGTCCCTTCCATTTGTGGTTAAGTTACTCCTGGTATCCTGGCGTAGGAATGACTTCTAGGCGCACTCAGCTATCTGCTCTACTCATTCTATTCTGCTCATTCTATTCTACTCATATAACTGTAACAAACCTGAAGATACACTGGCCAGGTGCATCATCCATGTCAGCAATGCAAATTAACGAAACCCGACGTGTTGTCTGTGCCATCAGTGGGCAGCAGAGGCGGACCATCATTCACAAGGCAATCATCTGGAAACCCATCTGTGGGAGAGCCTTCTGCATATTAGATGTAAGCAGTGTGATGGAAAATATGGTGTTTCAATTTTTTGAATTACCATAGTGAAATACATACCACCCTTCACCTCCATCAGACCATTTCCCTTTGCATCAAGCACTTATCCCGTTGCTCTTGCTACTTTCTGAAACGGTTCCGGATGTCCTCTTTTGTGAGTGTCTTCAGCCGTGACATGCCTGCCCTCGCGTCTTGCACTGCTTCAAAATGTTTACCTGTCGTGGCCATTTTGACTTTGGAGAAGAGCCAGAAGTCACACAGTGCAAGATCTAGCGAAGAAGGTGCACAGGACACATTGTAATGTTTTCACAAGTCGCATATTTGTTGAATGACAGTTGGCAGCAGCATTCAATGTGGTTTTGATCACACCTTATAAAAATATTCATGAAAGAAGAAGCCATTCATGCTTCTGAGAGTAGCAAGAACTATTGGATTAGTATGTTCAAAGGGGAAAGGAGTATTTTTTAGGTGGGTTAATGACAAAGAGTCTTTGATTGTAAGTTTTTAAGGAAATGCCCCGTTTGTACCATACATTTCCATCACACCTTTGTGCCTTTCTGCCATCGCAGTGGAAGATTTAATTCTCCTCAACACATAGTCAATTTGAAAGTTCAGCTCTCTCAAGAGCATACTCACTAATGCAGCACACAGAACACACATTATTCTTCTTTTTGGTAGAATTTTTAAAATTATCATAGCTTCACTGTTTAAATTTCTTGCTAACATAATGCAGAATACAAACATGGGAGAAGGTAACATAAAACTAAGAGTATACTAGTAAGTAAGTATACCAGTAAGAGTATACCAGTAAGAAACTGGTAGCTAGGGTTCCTTAATTTGAAGAGTATTTAAGATCAGTCACTACCCAAACAGCTTGAAAGTTCCCTGAAATCCTGCAGTTCATGTATCAAAGAAATCAGACAGAGGCTTTCTCAAATTTACAATTTTTCCAAAAAGTGTAGATGACATTACCAATAATGTGTTATAAAGCTCCCAAGGATATTTGTAAACTATCAATAATAAAAAAAGTTTTGATCAAACATGGTAGGGAAATGACTAAATTATTTTCTATTTTCTCCATAAAAATATAAAATCTTTGTCATGAAGAAGTGATCAAAGAGTACAAAGGCAAAAAATATTTTAGAGATGTCAGACAGTTAATAAAACATTAAATTACTTTTCTAGATTTTTGTGACATCACTGGTTAGCTTTTAAAATACGTAATTTGTCTTGATTTATTTTCTCATTGCAAATAAATGTCTATTTTCCTAATTCAGTATTCTGCAGAGCCCTATGCTCCCACCCCCTCTCACATGGGTGCTCAGAAGAGCTCACGGCAGGCCAGGTGTCCAGGAGCCATTGGTCCTGCTTCACATTCATATTTTATTCTTAGAAATGAACTCAGAGGTGCTCCTCACCCCAATGGCAGCAGCAAAAGACAGGGCATTTCCTCCTTCCATGAGCCCAAATTAGATGCCTAGGAGGAGTTTCCTCCACATGGGCATCCAGAGTGGTCACTGCACCATGCTGGCCAAAGAAACACAAGAAACTCTGAAGACAGGGGCCACACCCACCGTTCTTTCTAGTTCTCAGTTTTACCCAGGGAAGGAGCTTAGCACTTCCCAGAGGCGAGTGCCAGCAAAGCTGTGATCCTCTGTGGCTGTTTTGGGGATTGGGACCGGGGCACTGTACGCATTACACAAGCACTCTAGCACCGAACTGCTTGCATTCTATTCCAAATAAATAAAATTACTAGATTTACACCTTTGAACAAAGGCTTGCTCTTTCCACATTTCAATCCCTTCCATGGTAAAATGTAACAATTCCTACTCAATAATTCTGTGAGTCGATACTGGTCAAATACTCAAAACAGTACCTAGAACATAGTAAATACTCGTGAAATCTTAGGGTTTTACCCTCTTGTGTGTTTTACCCTTTCATTTAGAAATATATGTTTGCAAATTCACTCATCTGTATGACAGTTTCATGATTTTTGCCATATTTAAGTATCTTCTACAATAGTTCTGTAATTGCCTCCTATTCTTACTGAACTCAAATTGGCTTAAGTAATAATATCAGTGATATAAAGAAATTAGAGTGAGAGCTATTTTTCTCCAACATTTCTTCATTCCTTGATGATTAAATTTAAGTCAGTGTATGGGGTCCTTCCCATGATCCCAAGGATGCTATACTTCAAAAAACATCTGGGTGAACAACTGTTGTCAGACTTACTTTTATCTTATTTGTTTGTTAGCATATTCGTTTACTGATTCATCTGATTATTCATTCAATTACTGGCAGAGTTACTAATACATCAAGTTGTGGTCAACAGCCCTTTACAGCTTATGTAAGGTGACTAGTCGGCATACTTGATGCTGAAAGGGTACAGATACCAGCCGGGTGAGTTCTTGCCCTGGGGAGTGCAAAGACAGAGCCGGTCATACAAACAAGCAATTACACCACAAGCTCAGAGCTACCTAAGAGACTGAGCACTCGGGGTTTGGGAGCTGGGGGCAAGAGGGCAGCTTCCTTTTGCCTGGGGGAGCCTTTGCTCCTGCTGTGGATGGGTCTCCAGGGACGCACACCCCGCCCTTCCCCTTGGTGCTCATGATGCAATTATCTGTGATTGTTGCCAAGGGCTGTGAATGTCAGCTGAGAAAAACTTCTTTGTTGAATCAGATGATGGCGAAAGTACAGTAGAACGGATCCTGATCAAAATGGCTTCGTTCAGTCATCTTTTCCTTCTTCCAACACATATTTTTGAGCAGTTACTATGTGCTTGCCCTTAAGCATACAGTCTCTCCCATGGTGGAGCTTAAAATCTATCGTGGGGGTCAGGCACTATGACAGGATCATTTGCTTACAAGTGTGACAACTGCCCAGAGGACTTGTGTAGGGTAAGGAGCACGGAGAAAACCCAGAGCAGGCCAGGGAGTTAAAGCTACCAGCTCAGAGACAGTGAAATGGAAGGGAGGATCCAAAGAACGAAAAGAACCTTAGCAAGGTGGGTGGGAGGCAATAGTAACAGTGAGGGGAAAGAAGTGTTATGGGCACAGGTAATAATGTAATAATGTAATGTAATGAGATGGAATAATGTAATTGAGCAACTTCGAGGGACAAACCTAATCTCCGATGGTCATTAGTAAAAGCTCCGGGTAGAGAAATGTGGGGACAGATTCAGGGGGTCGGATCACTTGGGATATTGCAGGCAATGCATGGTCCATCCTTTTCCTAGAGGAAGCGGGTAAACGTGATGATTTTGACCTGGGAGTTTCCCAGCTTGATTTTCACTGGGAATATCTCCCCCACCCCTCTCCCCTCTCTCCTTCCCTCCCTCCCTTGGCCTCTGACTTCACCTTGGAGAAATGCATTGCCAAGGGCCAAACCGAGTGCTCAAATCAAGGGTAGAAAAGTTGCAAAGGAGGGCTGATGAAAGGGAGGAAGAGGAGAAGGAAAAGGCCCGGCTGGATGGTCCAAATGAATTCATTGCCAAGGTGATACCCTAGCCTCCCAGAAGGGTGAGGGCACAGTGGAAACAGGTGTCACAATGTCATAGGGATACTTAGGGTTCCCTGTGAATTCTATGCTCTGGAGAGAGCCTGGCAGATTAAAGTTCACATCCTGCCTCTATTTCTTGGGCAGCTTGACTTTAATCTCTCGGCCCTCGATTTCTCCATTTCTCCATTTCCTAAACGGAGATCATAGTGGCACAGCCCTCATACCGATTGTAAGGTTTAAATAAACAGTACCTGAAAATTCTGGCAGATAGTAGGAGCTCAGGAAAGTGGACGATAGGTGTGGGATCGTGTCCTTTTCTTTTGCCCCTGGAAACAAGCTTCTCCATCAGTTTTACACTGTATTCTAGAGCAGCAGCTGTACTGTGAAAATATTCTTTCTGATATGCTGCACATTATAGTAAATGGCATTATTCATGGATGTGTCAAAGCCATAAAATAGGAGATTTTGAGACGATCATAGCTGTGAATGATTAATATTTTCATCCCAAGATGCCACGAAGGTACCAAGGCTATGTTAATTATTACATGCCTGTGCCGCAGACTGTGGGCTTCCTCCCCAAGTGCCTGTTAATTTGCTCGTATGCTGTGTGGCTGATGGGACTGGAGAAGCCTCCGTTCAGAGCACACGGTGGATCTCCAGCCTTTCCCCCTGTCCCCAAGAACAGCTTTATACCTCAGTGGAAGGAAAACAATCAGCAGCCTCTAATCCAGCCACAACGATGGGGCTTTGGCAGAAATGTTAGTCAGGAAATGCTTAACCAAAGATGGCTTTGAGCTTTTTTTTTTTTTTTTTTTTTTTTTTTTTT